GAAATCAGACGCGCTCGTTTTCTCAGATGCTTGCAGAAAAAGGCTTACCAAAACAAAGTTACTGGGTTAATCTTTTTCACGTTTCCTTGGTTGGTAGATGCACCGGGGACCTGATTATAGCACTTAAAACCTGGAAAAGTCAGATTTTCATGATATGTCACGTTTAAAAGACTAAAGGTTCTTTATTGGTATCTATCTATATAAAACTTTCCATTGGACAAAAGCTTCATTTGATTATTAAATTGTTCTTCACACTATGAAAAAAAAATTGGTCTTTTAAGAATTATTAATTGAAAAGTTCTTCGAGGAAGCCACATTTTCTCTTCTATGGCATTACTGGAGGGAAAAAAAAACTTCAAACCTTTATTTTTATGACTGAATTTGCTATTGTCATATAGTTACTTTTTTATGTTCTGATAATTCTATTACATGCTGAAGAGTTTGACAACGTGGTAAAAATGTACACAAGGACATAGAGAGGCAGACAAAAGAAAAAAGTCATATATTCTGTGGTAGCGGTTTGCTCTTTGTGAGCACCTCCTTTTGATTTGATTGGCACTTCAAAGTAACTCTGTGACTAGAAAGGAGGGACACCGTGGTGGGAACAAAAGACACCTGAGGGGTGGGAGTGCAGAGATCTAGACCATAGACTGCTCCAGCATCCGGGAGACCATATAGGCAGATCAGTTTGGTCCGTTATGCTTCATGATGCATAGACACACACACACCAGCCTGTGTGTTTTCAGAGAGATTTAGGAGCTGTTCGGTTGCCACATCAAAGGATTCGTGGTCTTGTTCATCTCCCTCAATGGAATATCTATTACTGTACCATGTTAACGTGATCCTCTGATCTGTCATTAAATCACATACTAAAATCATTTCTACACCATTTGCAATGCCCTTCTATCATTTATGGCCAAAACACTGCATCCATAACATTGTCTGACTGCCGCCGGCAAGCCTTGCATGAAAATAATGTACTTAAGTGTTTCCACCCTTTTTGACCATTGAATTTCCATAACTTTTCCATTGTCATTCCACTGCCTTTACAGTCATTTGCGATTTAAGATTTTTTTAAAATAATTAAAATTTTAATTTGAACTTCACAAATCATTCTGAATGGTTCACAAAACAAATCAGACATTTCTTTGATGAGCGATATTTTAGAGCTGAGCGTAACTAGAAAAATGTACATCACCCACACAAATTTGATTAATTTATTATTTTCATTATTTATTCTACAAATTGTATTCATTTTATGAATCCTAGAAAAAAATACATTTAAAATCCCCTAAGTTTTTAATGCCAGTGGAAATTTCCTTACTTTTAAATGATACTCTTTGATATTTGATCATTCATTTTATGAATCCTAGAAAAAAATACATTTAAAATCCCCTACGTTTTTAATGCCAGTGGAAATTTCCTTACTTTTAAATGATACTCTTTGATATTTGATCTATAGCTTTCTCATGTCCTGTCTTGATCATTTTCCTTCATTGTCATAATGTGTCTCTGACAACATCTGAGGCATTTTACATGTTTAATTTACCCATTTATATTAGTAAACTCTTACAGCATTATGAGTGACTCAGAACAGATGACAGCAAAGCAGTTTGTGCCCTCATTAGCTGCCGTCTTCAGCAGGAGCACAAACAGCACAACAGGAAGAGCAGATTCCATTGACACTAATGACAGGCTCATTAACTATGCAGAAAAGCAGATCAACGCACTGCTCAGGGTCCTTAAGTCACGCTCCAGAGTAATTTGCTCAGGCTAAGACTGTTTTAAATGTCTATAAATTCCCACCGGCCTGCTGAACTTCTGTCTTATCTCCTTCTCTGAGGTCCAAGTCCGCTTGGATTTCAGGGCATTATCCTTTAGTAACAGCTTCATCCAGCTATTCTGTCCTTATGTTGCCACTGGCAAATGTTATAAAGCAAAAGGCCACTTAATCATTTAAGCTTAGAGGCTCTTCAGCAGGATTGTGTGTTCAGTGTCTCTGACCTCTGACTTCTGCCCTGGTTCTCTTTCTCAGAGACTCTACGACGACTCTATCAGCCCTGATGATCCACATCTCCATGAACACTATAATGCAAAACAATAATACACAGACAGATAGACAGACAGAAAGAGCGATCTATAAACAGACAGACAGACAGAGCAATCTACAGATGATAGAGAAATTTATAAACAGACAATACAGATAGATAGAAAGTTAGATAGACACACAGATAATTTGGTTGTCAAAACAACATAATCTGCAGCAGGAGTTGGAAGTTTTTTAAAATTTTTTTTAGTCAACTTCAGGTTTACACTACAATGGACCACAATCAGTCTCAATAACCACTGTGAAGTCCAGATGAAATTCATCTACTTGATGTGACAGGGCTGATTTAAGGAACACAGGCTAAATACACCCAAAGGCGTCCCAAAACTGATATTTTTATGCAAGTAAGCATTATTTTATCAAGGCATGTATATTTAAAGAACATGTCTGGATAGCTTGATATTATTTGTTTAACGTCATATTTTTCCCAAATAAGGGAAAAATGAACATAATATCCGACTGTGGAGATCATATTAAAAACATTATTTCTGTAAAGCTCCCTTGGAATAAAATGTCATTAAATTAGAGTTAATGACCAATTCCTTAATACGTAAAATGCCATTGTAATGGTGTAGTTTAAAACACAGAAACTGATCATTGATCTTATCCAACTCTTAATGCTGTACAGATCTTACAGTATTCAAACAAAGCCCTAAGTAAACTCCAAACTTTCAGGCGTTTTCAAAACTTTCAGACAATTCTTTGCCAAGCCAGCATTATAGTTTGTCTTGGCACACCTTACTTTTCTAGTTTTCATTGGTTGTTTTACAACTGTTCTCTGTTGGCTGAGACTGTGATGAATCCTGAGATGAGTTTGACCGTTTTGGAAAAGATGTTGAGAAATAGCAGGATGTAGAGCATAATTTTGACGTTGAACAGCCTGTCTGCAGAAGACGTTCTCTGCCAGGAAATTAGGCATCTGGGTGAAAGATACTGAGGGGCCGGTGCAAAGGGGTTGGGGGAAGGGGACCATAAATGGCCCCCATTATGCAAGTTACATTATCATACCTTCTGTATAGTGAACTGGTGAAATGTTCAAATGCAAAATTATAGGTGGCTTTAGTGCAAGGAGTTGTGGTGAGTTCCCTCACAGTCGTGTCTCACCAACAGCAATCATCAGAGCGGAATAATATTGTTCCAAAATAATCAGTGTTAAAGTCTGGCATCAGAATCACAGTGCAATTCCAATTCCGATGATTATGGCTGATTGCATTAATTATTCAAACTCTTCCAGGATTCTTTACTGCAAGTCAGGTAAATTATGTTATGCTTGTTTGGTAAATTGAAATGAATTCATGAAGCCACCTTTTTTCTGCATGTGCTTTTCTTTTCTATAGTCAATCGTCTTACAGTTTGTATGGTGGTGGATTTTCTTCAAACTGAAGACCACCTTTAACTTCACCAGAGGCCAAGCCTATTGTTCTCTTTGATCTGGACCGAGAAGAGAAACCTGTGAGGTCCCTCACCCTAAGCACTCAGCCGTCCCCAGTCAAAACATGGCGAAACGGGGGCTGAGGGACACATACAGATACATAAAACCTCTCTTCATCCAGGACCGTCAAATATAGACATCTGTTTAAAGACATCTGCCATCGATTTCCACTGCTAACATGACATTAGACTCAGTTTGCAGTGTTCTCTTTAGCATTTACCCCTGCTGACATATCATACCCTGAAGTTTGTGACCGTCGGTGAACCGTATGTCCCCTCAGGCCGGAAAGAGAGAGAAATGATAAGAGGCTTCCTTAAATTACAGACTGCAGTCTCATCTAAATGGAGTTCAACCAGAGGCTGAGGGAAACAAGGTCATCCATTAAAGCAACACAATTAAAGCTGCAGCCTGCATTCTTCGTGACAAATTTCAGTAGGAATAAAGCCAGATTATTACTATAGCATTCAAGAGCCTTCCAGCAGGAGAGCTTTCATCTCGAGGTTTTTAAAAAGACGCTTTGAGTAGGTACAGCAGAGCTGAGTTATTGTGGTAAGTAATATTTCAGGAATACTGTAGAAACATCACCTGGGACAACAATGACCTTTTTAACCGTAAACAGAATATTAACAGAAACTGATCATTGATCTTATCCAACTCTTAATGCTGTACAGATCTTACAGTATTCAAACAAAGCCCTAAGTAAACTCCAAACTTTCAGGCGTTTTCAAAACTTTCAGACAATTCTTTGCCAAGCCAGCATTATAGTTTGTCTTGGCACACCTTACTTTTCTAGTTTTCATTGGTTGTTTTACAACTGTTCTCTGTTGGCTGAGACTGTGATGAATCCTGAGATGAGTTTGACCGTTTTGGAAAAGATGTTGAGAAATAGCAGGATGTAGAGCATAATTTTGACGTTGAACAGCCTGTCTGCAGAAGACGTTCTCTGCCAGGAAATTAGGCATCTGGGTGAAAGATACTGAGGGGCCGGTGCAAAGGGGTTGGGGGAAGGGGACCATAAATGGCCCCCATTATGCAAGTTACATTATCATACCTTCTGTATAGTGAACTGGTGAAATGTTCAAATGCAAAATTATAGGTGGCTTTAGTGCAAGGAGTTGTGGTGAGTTCCCTCACAGTCGTGTCTCACCAACAGCAATCATCAGAGCGGAATAATATTGTTCCAAAATAATCAGTGTTAAAGTCTGGCATCAGAATCACAGTGCAATTCCAATTCCGATGATTATGGCTGATTGCATTAATTATTCAAACTCTTCCAGGATTCTTTACTGCAAGTCAGGTAAATTATGTTATGCTTGTTTGGTAAATTGAAATGAATTCATGAAGCCACCTTTTTTCTGCATGTGCTTTTCTTTTCTATAGTCAATCGTCTTACAGTTTGTATGGTGGTGGATTTTCTTCAAACTGAAGACCACCTTTAACTTCACCAGAGGCCAAGCCTATTGTTCTCTTTGATCTGGACCGAGAAGAGAAACCTGTGAGGTCCCTCACCCTAAGCACTCAGCCGTCCCCAGTCAAAACATGGCGAAACGGGGGCTGAGGGACACATACAGATACATAAAACCTCTCTTCATCCAGGACCGTCAAATATAGACATCTGTTTAAAGACATCTGCCATCGATTTCCACTGCTAACATGACATTAGACTCAGTTTGCAGTGTTCTCTTTAGCATTTACCCCTGCTGACATATCATACCCTGAAGTTTGTGACCGTCGGTGAACCGTATGTCCCCTCAGGCCGGAAAGAGAGAGAAATGATAAGAGGCTTCCTTAAATTACAGACTGCAGTCTCATCTAAATGGAGTTCAACCAGAGGCTGAGGGAAACAAGGTCATCCATTAAAGCAACACAATTAAAGCTGCAGCCTGCATTCTTCGTGACAAATTTCAGTAGGAATAAAGCCAGATTATTACTATAGCATTCAAGAGCCTTCCAGCAGGAGAGCTTTCATCTCAAGGTTTTTAAAAAGATGTTTTGAGTAGGTACAGCAGAGCTGGGTTATTGTGGTAAGTAATATTTCTGGAATACTGTAAAGCTGAAGGATTCAGTCCAAACATCACCTGGAGTCAACAATGACCTTTTTAACCGTAAACAGAATATTAGAAGAGAGAAACAAACAAAATGCACATTTTACTTTTACATCCAATTTACATTTTATGTTCTACCAATGATAAAACTGTGCTAGATGATGAATTTGTTTGGAGGGACACTGATAGGAAGACTTAATGTAAACACACTGTGTTTATGATTACATCTATATATTCATTTTTAAGAAAGATCCACATACACTAGAAAAACTACTGAATCACTTCATCCATCTTTCGTTCATCTAATCAAGCATGATCCGAACACCTCTTTAATATGTCAAGCCAAAAGCAGAGTCGATGTCTGGCACCCGTCATTGGTACTGTGGTCAATCTGGACTCAAACTGTCTTATGTATAGTTTAATGAATAACCTCAGTTAATGTCATCATTAAACAGCCAAACAAAGAGGGCTTTACATTGGTTTTCATTTGCTCTCCTCTGTGTCAACATAATGGTAATGATTTTGTTTTTATGAACAGCTGCCCTATGTCACTGTTTTACACTTACAAACTGCACACACACTGCCGTACACCTTCGGTCATTCCTCTTCAGGTGTGTGTTAAGGTGTGCGCTAGATGCTGCTAATTTAAGAAATGTTAAGCTGAATGGGTGGGCCTTGCCTGAGGATAGTACCTGTCACCTACAGACTGACTTTGGCAGTCCCAGACTGTTTTAAATTGCTTCTCGTGACAAGAGTGTTAAATGTCTGAAATATAGATAAATATAGACATAAAGATTCTTCCTGATTTGACCCTTAAAGATAGATTACCCAAAAATAAAAATCTTGTTGTTCACCTTCAGACCCAAGCGGCAACCTTCCGGTCTCACTCCTGAAACCAACAAGGAAGTGACTAAATCTGCAATTCATCGACTGGCCGCTAGAGGCTGGCTCCAAAAGGGAGTCAAAAACGCTCTTCGGAATCCTACGGGTGACGTCACGGACACTACGTCCATGTTTTTATACAGTCTATGCTTCAGACCCATATGATTTTCTTCTGTCAATGAACACAAAACGATGAATTTCTATGAACAAAATGCATCTGGAAAATAGCGGGGAACACAGAATGAACTGCTGCAAGAAAAGTGCACCACCTAAGTTGTCCTGTACATGTGAATGCGTTATATTAACAGCTTCGAACAAACTTATTAATTTAAGGCAACTTACCCTGTCAGGTGCTCTGACAGATGTGTGTGATGTAATGCATCAGAGACAAGTTTTTTTTTCTCAACACAATCTCATGGCAATTTGTAAATATATGTTTTGGTGAATTGCTAGGTAATTAGTATGAATTTGTATGATCTCATTCGAACATTTTTCTAAAAAATCATGTTTTTGACTGATTCACACTATTCGAATTAATACAAAATTGCCACCTTATAAAACAGTTGCATTTCCTTGTGACATTGAGTCATCAGTGCATAACTTATATTTTAAGGTTATATCCTTATATGTAAATACAGAGCCACATTAGTATTTCCATTTTGCATAATGACAGCAAGCAAGTCTTTACAGATTGCACTGAATGAGTGCAAATATAAGGTGGTGCAGTAATTCTGACTAAAATATACATTTTGCTATGTTAAATATACTTTTGTTTGGACATTTAAATATAGGTTTAAAATGCTATATGTAACACAAGTAATTGTATTTTTATGAGAGCAATAACTGTAATGGAATTAATGTAATGGGGTATAGCTGTAATATCCAGACGAGTGAACAATCTTTTGTTTTTCTTTATTATAGTGTACACATATTTATATTTTATTTGCACATAATATATATTTACATAGATTCAGTACATTCACTATATTTTCACAGCCTTCAATTTACACATTGTTTGGACAACAACAGGATGTAGAATAACTTGGGAAAAAAATACAAAAGTAAAATCAGCCCTTTTGTATTTGATTATCAATTAATCAAAGTTATAATCACCAAATCAGTAGATTAAAAACTGATTAGCGTTAGTTGCAACCAAACCGCATGAGTACTCTTCCTATAATCTGCTGCAGCTCTCAGACATAATTTCAAACAAAAATTCTCATATTTTGAGTTTCCACTCCATTGGTCCATAGGTTTTTGTTGCTTCATTTTGCATATTCACCCCCACAGATATTGTGTGCTTATTACAAGCAGAAAAAGGTGATAAATATATGTCTAGAGTGACGCCAAGAGCAATAAAGAGGTCACTCTTCTCACTGACTTATCAGGTCCATCGTCCTGCCCTAGCGTCTCAGAGCTGTGGAGATAGCCATCGTTTTCTGTCACCCAATCCGTCTAGAAACAACCTTTCCAGTTTAGACTTGCAAATTCTTAACGCTTCTAATTTCACAGTGTTTTCATTAGGCACGGTGTGAAGGATAGTCATGACTCCAGCACCCTTTAAAGATTAGTCTCTGCATTTCTCCAGTCTGGAAGAGCATTTTAATCCTAGTAATCTTGTTTAAAGGCATGTGCCATGCACAGACAGGTTAGTAATAACAGTGCTTTTGGCCTCTAACATTAGATGCTTTAGAAGTCAGTCTATGAAGCAACACACTGTTAATGAAGTTCTTAATTGGCGGTAAGAGGTGCAGCTTCAAACACAACTCCTCAGTAGATAGTAAAATGACAATCCTTGTGAAGAAGCCGTGGTCACACATGTTCTGTATGAACTTCCCCCGCAGACGGTGGGAGGGTCCAGCTGCAGGTCACAACCTGGACTTGATACCTTTAACATCAACTGTGCCTGTTAGCCACAGTTAGCTTTGTTCTTAATAATGCTAACAGAATGAAAAGGGTATCACTTAACAACATTTGCATTTCAAAAGCCACAACATAAAGAGAAGGGGTGATATATGGTGTAAGATCATTATCTTGTCAGATAATATTAATTAAATAAAGGACACTTTCATGACACCCTTAAGTACACTTACAAAAATTGCATTTTGCAATAATGCCAACTGAAAATTTTTACTTTAAAGTATGTTTTAAATCAATTAAAAGTATTAAATTACATTAAAGATGTACTGAATTCCTATTTAAGTGGGTAAGAAAAGCACCCTAAAGTTCAATTGCATTTGATATCAATTTAAACTATCATGCATTTTCATTTAATAACAATTAACATGCAATTAAATGTCCGAAAAACATTCAGTTTGTACTTAAGTATATATTTTTTTACGTAGTATATTATTTCTGTTACTGCGTGCACAGTAAATGCTAAACGTCTATATCCATCAGTAAGAAAAAGATTTCTACATAACAATGAAAACAGCAAATATTTGCATGGACAGGTATGTAAAAAACACCCTCTGTATTAATCACCTGAAGGGGAAATGCTAGCATAGCAGTTTGACTGCTAACAGACTTGCTATAGTTACATAATCTTCTTAACGTCAGGAAAACACCTTTATGGTCAGAAGTCGGCAATATCAAGCAGAAATATCCTACACGCAAGTTCAAATGGAAAGCAGAACATTCAACAGCAAAGGTCAGGGGTACTAAAGGTCGTGAACTTTGGGGAAACAGCTTTATTAGCTCAATAACAGCTGTACTTTGAGACAATCACTAGTCACCAGAGAGCAAAGTCAAATGAAGACATAACAATAACTTGATTTTAAGGTTAGTATTTTTCATGGAATTATTTTGTAAATCATAAAGTAAACACACAGTACCATCCATGCACAAATGAAATTATAATTGCGTTGTTTTCTTGAGCTTCATGTTTTCAGTAATATCTTCACTATATGCCTTTTCCCCTTTGACCTCTTCCCCTCTTACATTCCTGTCACTTCTCAGTATGACAAGAGCATGATGAAGTGAGCTTCGGAAGGAAATTCAGAGGCAGGGGTCTTTTTGGGGAATGTACATGCTTGGGAGTCCCTTTCATATGGATTTAAGACAGTCAGGAGAGCATCCAAAACGGCTTGTTTGCCGGTGCACGGTTCCCGCACAAGTCTGGCAGCATTAAAAGATTCATCAGTGCTTAGATGTGATTAACATTTGACTCCAGACTAATAAAAACGAATGACAGAGTTGGGGTCAGAGGGTCGAGATCAAGGCTCATAGGATGTCCTCTCAATTTCCAGCCATCCAGATTAATGGGGCCCCTGTGGTAGGAGCAGCGAGTGGCTATTTTTCAGTATCACTTTTTCAATGAGGCCTCTGAACCCTTAGGCCTCAGTGCACTGCCCACCTGTTGCCCCATTAACTACTAATGGAGTGCACAACCGCCAGTTTGCAGGGAAGGGGTGAGTTAGTTTTATAGTTGCTTTGAAAAGCTTTGATTGTTCTATTTGTAGTTGACAAATAACATGACAAATGGTTATGAATCTTCTTAAACAACACGCTTTTAGGTTAAAATGTATATGAGTTGTATTTAGGAAAATTTATATTTTAGGTGCTTTTAATATGGTTTTCACAATTTTAATAATCTTTTGGTTGTTTTATAGTTCACTCAAGTAGTCCTGCAGTGTGACCAATGAATTGTTAAGTGAGTGAAGCGAAGTGACGTGTGGCCAAATATGGTGACCCATACTCACCATCACAATTATGCGCTTAAACAAGAATAATAAGCCAAATTTGTAGTTTTGTGGCTTCTATTTTCTAAAATGGTAACACTTTACAATAAGGTTCCATTTGTTTACATTAGTTAACTAGCTCAACTAAGCTCAGTTCACTTCCAATGGTGTCTATGCAATCAAGTCAACAATATTGCCAGAAATGAAGTGTCCCCAACAAGCCAAAGGTGACAGCAAGGAACCAAAACTCCATCGGTGATAGAAATAGAGGGGGAAAAAACCTTGGGAGAAACCAGGCTCAGTCGGTGGGGCCATTCTCCTCTGGCCAGACGAAACCATGGCGTGGTTTAATTCCAGGCTGCAACACAGGTCAGATTGTGCAGAGGACTCGTCTGGTTCTCATGGTCTTGCGTCCCATGAAGAACTGAAAACAAGCTTCGCGATGAATCTTTACACGACTGTCTGTGTCGGTGAAACACTCAAGTACGAGTGCTAGTGTCCTGACTCCTGAGCGCATCAAGTAGGCCTAAGTCACATATTTTTTACCTGGGAATTTGACTGTTGGGAGCAATAAAAAGACTAAATGGTCCAAATGGAATGAATTGACATGTTTTGCCAATTCACTGTAAAAAAAAAAAACGACTCAAAAGAATCATTAATATGCAAATTAATGGTATTACTGGTTAGCCAATTCACTGTAAAAAAAAAAACGACTCAAAAGAATCATTAATATGCAAATTAATGGTATTACTGGTTACCCCACGTACACACGTGGGGTTACAACAGGACCATATACTTTAGTTTAGATTAGAACTGGGTGGATTTAGCATTAGGGACCCCCAGGGGACCTCCTGAAGTTGGAACAGGTGGCGCCCTAGAACGTAACCAATTTGTTTGTTTGTTTGTTAGTTTCAAATGTAAAATAAAAGATAGACTCACCTAAACTCTCTGAAAAACTAATTTGTAGAACTATGGTGACAATATAGTTTTATATAATAAATGTACAAAGACATCTGTGAAATGCTTATAGATAATCTATTTAACTTTTATTCTATTCTATTTTATTCTTATAACATCTATTTAACGCTTATTTGTCAAGTTGCTAGACATGGTTAAATATATATTGCTGTCTATTTAAAAATGAAGAGACAGTTTGACAGTATTTTATAATATCTTTTAAAATAATATAATATTTCAAGAAGCACCTGCAGCCCAAGTATTATTTGATTTATTTACTTTTCTAACATGTTATCTTCAGTAATATGACTGAATGCATTGCAGCATTCTAATTTGTACATATTTTTGATAAAAAATTTTTTTGTAAAAAGCAAAACGTGAAAGAAAAGAAAAAGAAAAAGAAAAAAAATATTTTGTGAAGTCCAGCAACAGAGCCATTGGCTGTTGCCATAATCACACTAATATTAAAATGCATAGCCTACCTCTGTTGAGTTGCGACATCAGATTTTCAATTTAAGATTAATATTAAAATGTTAATAATAAGAAGAAACTGAGCATTTTAACTTGATAGTGAAGACAATAAAAAAATGCCTTTTTTGGCAAAATCAAAAATGCATTTTAGAACTCAATTACGCAAGCAGCAATGAGAGCCAAGCAACTGTGATTTAATTTGAATGCTGACGGAGAGTAGCATAGATCTTTTTTCCTGCAGTCAACAAGCAATAGAGAGTGAAAAACGGCTTTGGCTATTTTGGATCTTTTTTTGGTAGGCTAAGGGCTATTTCACAAAAAGAGACAAGCCTTTTGATGTGTGATGCACAATATGCTGTTGTGTCGGATTGTGTCACCTTCCCATCTTCATGTTGAGCTACGCAGCTCCTGTAAAGCATCTTTGAATTCATCTTTAATCAAACGAGTCAAAATTATGTAAATATTTTTGGAAGGACAAATTGAGATAATCAGTTCATGATAACGTTTTAGTTCACAAAAGCATAAATGCTGTTTTTTTTCACAGCATCTCTTTTATTGTAATGTGTGAAAATATATCGTTGTCCAGTTACAACAAGGTTGCCAAAAGAGTTATGAATATAAATCATACCAAGCTTTAAAAAAAGTCACCGAAATTTACCTGAGATACAATCTGTTGTCTCTTACAATGGACAATAATGCAATTGCTGGCTGTCAGAAAGCCACAAGATGGCAGTGTCATCTTCACAAAGATGGAAATAACATTCGCAAAACTATGTTTGTTCAGTGTTTGTTCAGTTCCCAATGGAAATAACCTTCGCGCAACTAATATGTAGTGTTGCTGGTTTTTACATATTACAGCATCTAACTGACTTGGTTACTACTATGGTCATTTTGAGTGACACTGGTGATTAGTTTGTTCACAACGAAAATTCCATAAAGAAAAAGGGCACTTCACATGCCCGGATGATGCACTTAATTATTCAAATAATCGTATAATTACACAAGACGGTTGAGTATGGTGCTAGATTAAGTGCATATAGTGCGTCATTTGGCACACAACTCAACTGTCTCCTAATAGGCACTCAACGCGTTATGGTGTGCTTTCATGCAAGATTTTTCACCATTTGTGCTTAATAACCTCGACAATGTGTAAGATTATGTCATATTAAATGTAGTCAATTGAAAAAGTCAGAATCTGATTAATAAAAAATAAATAAATACATTTACCCATTAAGTTACCCTGCATATAATAAATAAACATAATAAAATAATCTTATTTTTTAAATTAATGTAAACGCGGTTTTCTTGCGTCATGAATATTTAATGAGGTAAGAACCGAGGCTGTGTTTATGATTGGTTTTCTGTTGCTAAACAAGGGTTAACCCCGCTAAAAGCTCTCTGCTCAGAATCAGAATTTCAAATTAACGTTTTTGTCCAGCTGCTGTTTAAGTAGACAAGGTTAAGTGTGCTGTGAAAGACCACGTAGCCTTATCGTTTACTGTATTTTTGTCTAAAAGCGTTCTTTATGAGTGAACTGCTGCAGTGCTCAGATTATAATGATGTTTTAATTGACTGATGTTATGATTACTGACTTTATATTTGAATGTGTTAAGCCCGCGATAGACTTAACGCCATTACGTCATCGCCAATGACGTCATTACGTCGAGCGTAAAAGAACCGGTGAACCGGTTTTTTCAACCGGTTTATTGAATCGAACTGTCCGAAAGAACCGGTTCGCGGAAAAGAACCGAACTTCCCATCACTAGTGCGAACTAAACGCCACCCGCTCCACTCACTGCATACCTGTCTGTCCACCGAACTAAATCAAAAGCACCCGGCACATGGATCGTGTGTAATAAGACTACACTTCCCATGCTGCACCGCGTTTGCGTCGTACCGCTGCTGTCACTTTGCCGATGTGAGAATCGCCCAGCAGCATCTCAGCCGAGCAGCAGCGCAAAAATGCACTGAAATACGCATCTTAGGACATTTCTACCCTCTTTCGGTTTGCCATGAGGGAGTGTGATGGGAATAACGGGGATGTTCGCACCGGATTACGTCCCTTTATTTTGAGCGAAATGCGGATTGTTTTGCGCTCGAGGTGTTAACGCAGACAAAAAGAAAATATACAAAAATGAAGAAGCAATTCAATCGGATGCGACAGCTCGCCAACCAGACTGTTGGCAGGTGAGCGCTATGATCTTAAATACGATCGTTTTACGCCATGACGAAGTTTATTTATTATTTATTTACTTATTTATTCGCAGAAAAGAATCCCTAACTGCAGTACCAATTCCCATATATTTTCCCATTCAAACTTTCAGTTTTCTAAATATACAAATGCATTTTTAAACATTTTTAGTAGCCATTACTACAAATAGCGTCTAGCATCTTGATTGCGCAATGCATCTTAAAATAGCTTTATGCATTATCACACCCATGCAATATTAGGCATTATTATTATTATTATTATAGATGCATAATTGGAGGTTGTGCATCCGTGTGTTGTGCATAACGGGTTCACTGCAGAGGCATTTCTTCCAGCAAAATGCCTCTCGGAGGTTCCCCATGGCACTGACACTACACCCCCTGCACAAACCTCCCTGATGCATTTCCATCAAGTGCAGCTTAATGTAGCACTGCTGTATCAGCTCACTTTGATTTGAATGAGAGGTATGAGAATGACATGTCTCCAGTGCCAGCTGATGCGGTAGATGGATGCGGATGAGAGGAAAATGGCAAAGGCGCAATGTTTTCATCGCACAGTGATCTATGGAAAAAAAAGAGGAGGAGTTGGGTGCAGTACATCAGCAAGATCTGTCACTGATGGAGAAGGTCATCATTGCTTCAGAAAGCACGGCTTCGAATTTCCAAATCCAGTGCATTATAGTGCGGATTGCGAAAAAGTTGCTGCGTTTTTTTTTTTTTTTTCCATGGTTGCTGCTGATATGCTTGCCCAATTTATCTTGTTTATGTTGGAGTGGGTGTGTGATGCTTGACCTTTCACATGTTCGGATTGTTCTTTACGTTCTTCTCTCACCTACCTCTCTTCTCACATGGTAAGGAGGGCTGCTTGTCATGCACGGGCCGTTGTGAAAGGCCAGAAGGTGTGTGTCGCTATCGGGCAGCTCCTTGCTGGGTGATTATGCCACAGTGTTGTGGGTCATCATTTCAAATACATTCTCTGTGGGTGGTTAGAAGGGAAGCTTCTCTTTTACTGCCTCTGGCTGGCATCTGCAGGCCAGTGGAAAATGGCAAGCCAGCTCCTCCAACCCGGTTCCAGCATTGCTCGTGGCATGAGATTGTGTGTGTGTTTGTGCTTAAGCCCTGCATTAGTATTCTCTACCTTTCCCTGGTAATGTCCAGGGAACTGTGGCAGCGGCCCACTGTGGCATTCTGTCTGTAGCTGTGCGGTAATGAGAAACAACATGTTTCCTAAACAGCACAGAGTCCTGACTCATTAATAATATGTTTCTGGGTCTGGGAGGGCGTACTGGACTGATGTTTGCTTTGGAAAATAGATTTGCACGTTCCTGTCATGTACTGTTAGAAGTACAGAGCCGCATCTTCCAATATCAGCTGAGATTTGCACTTAGATACTGTGTCGATGACCTTGACAGACTTGTGCAGAGGTAATGCAGTGTAGGAGATAATCCATGACTCTTGTTACGTCACTGATTTTTGTTATCCATTATCAACACCATTTTTCTTTGTGAATATTTAAAGTCAGCATGAAAACAAAAGAGACTTTATTTTCTTAATGTGTGTTACTGCTATTATTGTGAACAATTTTGAATGCATACATATATTTTTGACCAAATTTGAATCCAAAAGTCATAACGTATTCTTCCTGTGATTTCTCTCTGCTTATGTATGTAGTCAGGCCAATCACATTTAGATCTGCTTTCATTTCGGTATTCAATACTTGCTTTTCACTTTATAGTCGACATGAAATGGAAATTACAATTGCTGTACATTTCATATTATGACACATTTTTAGTTATTTGATTATTCTCTGTTTTTATTCAGAACTCGATGAGCAAAAACTCAAAGATAAATGTATTTATTAACATATGAATGATAAGTCTTACATTATATAACACTTACAAAAAGCAGACTCGGACTCAAAACAGTGAAACCAACATTTTAAATAACCTACCGTTCAGAAGTTTGGGGTCGGTGAGATAGAAATTAGTACTTAATATAAATTTGTAGCAGCCGTAAACAACTAAAAACAACCATTTCTATAATCACACTGTATGTACTGCAATACTGCACAGCCCTAGTGTATACATTTGTATTTATGTATTTGACATTTGTCCAGATGCTTTTATAGCTGTCACCCAGCCTACCCGCTGCTTTCATTTCTCATCATTTGTAAATCACATTTCCTCTTGCCCACTGTGATAAAAATGACTACCCCCGGCTCTGTGTGTATGTATACTTGTGTTCGTCTAGTTAAGGGGCCAGTATTTGTGCTCTTTCTCTGTGTTCTCATTGTGACTATATTTATAGTCTCTTCATTCATGTTTTTGTGTCAGTGAGTGTTTGTGAGGGTTTTTGGTGGGGTTGTGCACTGCCTGTAGTGTTTTCTCTCTCTCAGGAAGTATGGCAGCCTTCCTTTTCCTTCAGAACTGCTGGCTTGTTGTTACTGGGAACAGTACATTGTAAGTGCTTATGGAGTTGTGCGTGTTTTTCATCGTCAGCAGAGAGGTTGGGAATAGTGTGTATGTTGATTAATGGCCCTGCGTAACAAACATGCTCACACAACAGGGAGTGCCCACACATTGCAAGGGAATCCTTTCTTATATATACACCAAACACGTATGTTTTACTTTAGAGTGCGATCATCAGTAAGTGGTTTTATATATATATATATATATAATACTGATTCTTAGTTGCTTATAGAGGAGCTAGTAATGCTACAAGAGTGAAAAATTTGGAAATGAAAATTTGGTTCATTTAGGGAGCGCTTCCGCAACACCATTTTCAACTAAATGCAGAAAACTGCTTCACACAACAACAGCGTTTTGGGGACCTAAAAATGCAAACTTTTAAAAATGGGTTTCATCGTGCAAGTTTTTGAAAACGATACCGTTATCGTCTCTGTGTAAACTACAAAAACTTGAATTTGTGAAAACTGTGATGTCATGCACATGCTTATTACATGTTCGTGTAGTGTTTCTTTACAAAGTGACATTGCCAACTACTGGCCTGGCATGCATAATACAGTGTCTATAAGCCAAAGTACACTTCGTTTTTTATGCGGACGCAAGGGTCTGCGAACTGTGCACCTTCCGATTTTTGTAACAGGTCGCACATGCTTATTGGCTTGGTGTTGCGACACAACGTGGCAACACTGGCCCGGGCCGTTGTTTCACAGTAGAAAATAAAACTAAAGAGACAGAACAACAACAATAACAAAATAGCAACAACAACATCAGACGGCTGCATTGACAAGTGCTTATGTGACGGGGTTATGAGAGAGCCGCAACTTTAGTTTAAAAGAGTACAAAGAAATTTTTCGGTCATAACTTCTGGAGAAACATAGAGCAGATACTGGACAAAGATGAAGCTTTCTATAGCGCTTGTGTCGACCACCTGTGTTCGAAACCACACTTGAGTAAAACTGAGGTCTGAAGTATAGTTCATTTGAAGTCTAGAATCTTTAACTTGTGGTAAACAGCTGTCAGTAGTATTCATGGTGGTACTTTTGTTGATAATTTAAGCATACTGCAATTTACTGCCAAATACTCCATACTCCAAATACTGCCAAACAAAATGTCAAAGGCCTGTGAGGACAGAGGAGTTTAAACCAAGCAATCAAACAGGGCTTCCCTGTAGCCTACGGAAAAGCAAACCATAGTTTAATCTTATGATCAGATTGAAACTCATTACACATGCTAAAGTTCTGCTGAATTGTCTCTTTCGTTGATGCTACAAAGAACCTGGGCATTTTCCCCTGTGGCTCAATATGCATCATGCACAAAGTGTACTTGATTTAAAATTGCTCAGTTGTGTCTGAAACAGATGAGTCTGAATCTGACAATGTTTTGTTACGTGTCGTGTGTATTGAGGCAGATTGAAAATGAAAGGTCCGGTGAGTGACGCTGAAAGGTTAATGCCCTTCATCTGCCACTGTAATTATAATTTCTGTGAAAAACAATGAAAGTTGCTGGTGTTTAACTGCCACTAGTGTCCGTTTCAGTTGGAATCTGCAGTAAATTGTATGTAAAGGTACATTTTGCAAAAGTTACAAAAATGTAGAGGCACATTTTTTTCAAGTTACAAGTTCAAGCTACAAAAAAGTTTATAAAGCCATAGTAAAAGTAATTCATATGAATCAAGCAGTTTAATCCCTTTCATTTGTAGAGACTATTGATATAACGATTCACTCAACTCACGATTCGATTCGATTCACAAATTTGATTTCACGATTCGATTTTCTCACAATTTTTTTGAACAAAATGAGATTGAAGACATGCTGCTTTAGTATGAATTATACAGAGACGAGATGAAAAAAATACCACGTAAACTTTTCTAAAGACAGTCAGTTCCCCTCAGAGATACATTTATATAAACTCCTACTCCAATTGTATCGCGATTTGTTTGGCATCTCAACCGATTTGAATTGTCACATATTTGAATCGATTTTCAACCGGCTTGCGGTTAATCGTTACATCCCTAGTAGAGACACATGATTGCTTTATATGATGAACAGATTACAGATTGCTAGACATTGAACAGATTGATTGATCAATTCACATACACAGAGCACATCAAACAGGCACTGAAATTTTTTTGCGTAGAAACAGTTTTTCCTCAGAATTAATTATGAAATAAACATGAAATTAATTAAACATTAAATTTTGAAGTAGAAAATTGTATTTTCGTGCAATTACTCTATTTTCTTGCAAAACATACTTCGATAATCTCTTTAAATTTTATTTAAAACTTCGAGAAAAAAAAACACAAATATACAGCATAGTAATTGGAAGTATAAAACATGTATTATGAACTATGCCTTTAAGGCATCATAAGGGAGGCAAATGCTGATATCTTCGACACCTTGTTTTGGCCAAATTCAAAGCCAGCATCCCAGAATGCATTGTGTCGACCTCAGTGAAAAAACTGTGGGCGGAGTTGATAAACTAATTAATAAAAAAAAAATTAATTCTTTCAATACA